GGCACAAAGCAAGGACCTATTGGCTGCGTGGACTGACTATATGCACAGCGCCCTCTCTGGCCCGCGTGGGGTGGGGGGGCTGGGAGGGGACGGGAAGGTACCCGACACCCTGTGCTCGTCAACAAAAAAAGTCACAAAAACAAGGGGCAGCACAAACGAGTAGCAAGAGGGGCCCCAAGATGCCTCGCACAGTGCTCCTTCCACGGTGGCACGGTGGCACGGGGGGGCCCCTCCCGGGAGCCTGCTCCCACGGTCCCCTGCTCAGGGACACTCCCGTAGGGGGATTCAGACACCTATATCAGCCTGCCTGTGGTCTGGCCTCTCCCCGGGGTCCGAGGCTTCCGGACGAGGCTGCTGAGCCCCGAGGGGCCGGGCCAGGCCAGGGGCTTGCCCTTACAGAGGCACCCAGAGGCTGGTTTCTGTTACAGCAGGTGGGGGCGCACGGCAGGTGTGCACGAGCCGCCCAACAGAGAGGGCCACGCGCCGCCCCCACCTCGCTCCAGTGAGTAACAAACAGGAAGAGCCAGTCACCCCAGACACCCTGAAAGTAAAAACAAGCCACGTGACATCCCATGGCGGGGAGGGCACTGGCTTCCTCCCAGCCCCCACAGCCCCTGGCTCTGACCTCACTTCCTGCCATGCCCCCAAGGCACTGAGACCCCTCTCAAGGCACTACACCCCCTGCCCCCAGCTTATTTATTTCCTATCATGAAACAGTGATAGAATCCCAAGAAGCTGCCAAATCAGCACAGAGATCCCCCGATGACGACGTCTCATGACCCAGAGCGCTACCAAAGCCGGGAGCCTGGCCACGGCACGTGGCGGTTAACTCAACTCCGGGCTTGGATTCCACCTTTTGGTGTGTTCTGCTGGGTACGTCTGTGACACGGTCACATGCACAGATCATTCCCCACTGCTGACCATCACGACGCAGGGCTGCTCCACCCCCCCGCCCAGGAACCCCCTGCTCAGAAGCGCCGTCACACCCTCGAACCCTCTCACGCCCGGGCAGGCTGCTTGCGCGCTGGCCCCTCCCCGCCGCTGGGAAGTGACCACCTGCAGCAGGGGCCCCGCCTTCCTTATCCCGGGCCCAGGGCCTGGCACACGGCAGACACGCAATAAGCACGCGTGAACTAACGGCTCCGGGAACAGCTCCTCGCATGCCGCCCAGCCTGTGCGCTCTGGCGACTCGGGCGCCCCTCTCCCCCGCAGACCCCTGGGCACGTGCATCCCAATGGCCTGACAGCGAGAGCAGCAGGTCTCAACTTGGGCGCTGGGAAGGTAGGAGTCCCTGACAGTACAGGCCAACTGGGGCGCACTGCCTGGGAGGGCCCAGGCCCGCTGTCAGTCCCAGGGGGTCTGGCTCTATCTGCCCCAGAGGTAGCCAGAGGGAGGTGCTGGGGCCTCCTAGAAGGATCCAGCTGTCGGAGCTCCAGCTCAGGCCCCCACGCCCACACTGTGAGAGCTCATGCATGTTTCTCCCCACCTGGGGCCTACACCGGCAGCTGGGGTGACGGACCCCACCATGAGGCTGCTGTGCGACTCGTCACTGACAAAGCCTGGGTCTTCCCATGGGCCAGGCCTTCACTCACTCATGATGGACCCCACCACAGACGGAGAGAGGAGCCTAGTGAGGGAGGGCTGGGCCTGGCCTCAAACCGGGGTGAGCCCCCGAGTCCCTGCTCCAGCACCCAGTGCATCTGACACTCACCAGCCCTGGGACCCTGTCTTGCTGTCTAGGTCCCCTGGGCCCGGCCCCACCCCTAGCATGGAGCGGGGCTCACAGTGAACAAGTGTGGAGCCCATGGCACGGCCCTCTTAAGAATAAGGTGGGTAGGCTGTGCCCAGAGAAGCAGCTAGCCCCTCAAAAACAACCCAAGGGGCTCTGAGTGCAGGCAGGCCTGGGACCAGGGTGAGCAGATACCCCTTGACCCCAGAAGGCCCCTTCTAGGCCAGGCCGACTGCTCTGCCTGGACATGTCCCTCTCCAAACTGTGCTGACCTTCACTCCTGCCCACAGGCTGCTGACTGTCCCGCCGCCCGGCAAAGGGATGCTCAGCTGGGCACAGCTATCTCCTCCCGTGACTGAGCCACTTGTCACCTACCAAGGCCAGCTTCTCTAAACCCAAGGCCTCGACCCCACACATAGTTACACGACGGATACGCACAGGCCAAATCAGATCCAGAAAGATCCCCTTCGACTTAAATAAACTGGCGGAAGGGGAATCCAAGCCAAAAGCATCAAGTGCAAAGTCCTTTGGCGAGTTCCTTCCACACTGCCGTTTATGACCCAGCCAGGCGGGGGATCCACAGTGGCCTTGCCCAAGAGTGGGGCTATGAGACCTTCGGAGCTGTCCAAGGCTTTGATTGGGCCGGAAAGTCTGAGAAGTTCAGCCAGGCAGGAGAGGGGTTAACTGGTTCACAAATCGAGCTGTCCCACTGTGCCCTCGGCCAACTGTGGGCCTGGCCTCCCTGCCGGCCCGGGGCTGACAAAACTGACTGCTGCGTCAGGCCGGCCGTGCTCCCAAGCCCGATTGTTTGCAAAGACAAAAGGGACGCTGACGGCCCAACTCTCTGGCAGGGCAGGCGGGCCCGGGAGGAGACAGCTGACCCAGGCAGCTCAAGCGGCCACCTCTTGGGGCAGCGCACCCAGGGGCCCCTCCGGCTGCCCGGACCTCAGCGAGGCCCAGTGGGAGGCGGCGCGACTCTCAGAGGCTTCAGCCACCAGCCACTGAACAGTCCCTCTGACCCCTTGTCCCTGTTTGGGTCTCCGCCCCTTGGCAACCAACAAATAGCTGGAGGCCTCTGCCCTGTCACAGGTATTAAATGGCCAACCAGCAGATTTAGTTACAAAACAGTCGCCTGAAGTCGGAACACAGTGCTAAACTCTGAGACCGACCCCCGTACCCTCACAAGGGTGGCGCTCTGGAGACCACGAGGGGAGAGGTCAGGGTGTCCTTCTATCTGCCTGCCCCAGAGAGCACCAGTTCAGAGTGTGGATTCCAGAGCCAGCCTGCCCGCCTGGGTTCAAACCCTGTCACTTCAGCCACCCTGGACAGCTTGCTAAGCTTTCTTTGCCTCAGGGTCTCCATCTATGAACGAGGATACCCACCCCAAACTCAGAGGATGGTGGTGAGGACAAGAGAAACGTGGCAGGAGTGTGGGCCCCCAGCCCCACGTGCCCGCACTGGGTCAGGTGATCACTTCTTCCATTTTCCAGACGAGGAAACTGGAGGCCAGGAAGAGGACGTACTTGTCAGGATGGACCCAGCCAGCAAGTGACAGAATCAGGATTTGAACCCAGGTCTACAGGTTCCAGAGGCCAAGCACTGACAGTCCCTGGAAGCCCAGAGGCAGCAGCGGTGGATGAGAGCGGAGCCTGGCCTCGGTGGGAAACGGACGGCTGCGTGTTAAGCAAGAAAGAGCTGCACGCACTCCAGGCTTCCGCCCCAATCTTTGTGCAGCTGGCCCTGCCCCAAGGCACCTGGCCCTGCCCCCAGGCACCTGGCGACGACACAGGGAACATAGCCAGGGCTATGAAAATGGGGAACGGCCTCCTCGTGTGGCCTGAACCCCAGAGAGGAAGAGCCTGGGATGATGGCAGTAAGACTGGGGTGTCCCACAAACGCTTCCGAGACGGCGGTACACATTCATGAAGCAGACCCCTGGCAAGAAGGGGACCCAGAACCACCTGCTCCCGGCCGTCCTCAGGCTCCCTCCCAGGAAGGAAGACCGAGCTGAGCTCACCCACGTCCACAGTCCAAGAGGAAGCCACTGTGTAGGCACAGATGCCACCTGGTAGAGCAGGCAACCCTGAGTCGTGGGCATGGAGCAGCTCTCTGGTCATCTGGCTGACCTGCCCAGTCATCAGAGTCCAGCTTCGTCCTTGGTCCACAGTGCCCCGGGGAGCCAGGATGCTCCTCAAACTCTCTCCAGGGCAGGTGCGCGCACACACGCACACACACACCTTGAAGCACAAAATCCAGAGCCCAGGACTGTTCTCTGACAGCTTTAGAAGCACTAACATCCAGAAAAGAGGCTGCCAGTATCGTAACTGTCCTTCCCACTTCCATCGTCACTGTCCTCTGCACCTCCCACAAGAAACAGCCCCAACCCCAACAACAAGATCCCTGCACTGGGGCGCAGAGCCGACATCAATCACCGGGCAGACTGCATGGCAGGCTCCTTTGTGCCCCTGAAGTGTGCGTGTCCTTCCCCAAGCAGCTGCCAGGCCTTATTAGATGTTTTTTGTTTAAAAGGCAAAAGGAGGGGGGCCTTTTTTGGACACAGGAGGGTGGGACACGCTGCTCCAAAGCATTCCAAACAAAAGGCCCACAGGCCGGCCCACAGGCCGGGGACATCTGGCCCAATCCCATCTCACCTGCTGCAGCTTTCACAGACGTAGGACCCCGGCCAGCAGTGACTTGCTGCCGCCATCTGTCGGGCACTGGAGCAGGTCAGGGGGCACCCTGGGAAGAGCCTAGTCCACCAGTTCATGTCCTCAGCACTCCCGGAGTGTTCGCCCACCCACCCCATGCCCATCCTAAGGCCTCCACTCACAGAACTCAGAGGTGCTGTCACCGTCTCCACCTCACAGGTGAGGAAGTGGGGGCAGAGACGGCGGTGTCAGCTGCTGGAGGGCACGAGACTAGTAAGGGAGAAGCCGGGATTTGAACCCAGGCCAGCAGGCTCCAGAGCTCATGCTCCCCACCCCTCTGTGCCGTGGCCCCGGCCAGGGGTGGAGAAATGGAACCTGCTTTCTCTCAGTTCTCCTAGTTCATCCCCCGTCCCCACCCCCCAAACGCAATCACGTCTCTGAAAGGCGAGAGAAAGCGACGGTTCTCTGACACGCAAAGGTGGCTGCCAAGGGCACAACCAAGGCTGTGGGGTTGGCGTCCTGGGGTGAAAGCTCCCTCAGACCAGTGGGTGCCCACGCCAGGAGAACCAGGAAGCCCCTGGCCCTCGCCCCTGGCCCTCGCCCCCGGCCACCACTCCACTCACCCATATGTCCGCTGGACCAAGGTGGGGTGCAGCTGCTGTACGCCGATGGCAAAGCCTACAATGACAGACCAGTCAGGGGTGCGGCCTCGCCAGTGAAGAACCACACAGCCATACAGCTCCAACCAGAAGGGACAATTCACCCTCTCTCCCCTCCCAGGCCACCCCCTCCCTACATCAACCCCAAGCTCCCAGCCGAGCAGGGCAAGGGATGGGGCGGGGGCTGGGGGTGGGGAGACAGCCTCTAGGCTTTCACTCTCTGGACCTCCGGTTCCAAGGACCAGCTTCCTCCCTCCTGTTGAGGGCAGCTGACAACTGGGTGACACACCCTCCTCACTCTGTCCCACTGGCACACACAGCCAGATGAAGGGAAGAGGGTCCGGCTTTCAAGCTGGGGGATGACTGCCCTGTGATGGCTCTGCTAGCACATGACAGCCGACTGCCACTTCTGGGGTGGGGGGTGGGGTGGGGCTTTTCTACCGGACAGATACCAACGCTGAATATAGCAGCCAACAAGAGCCAGGGAAGAAAAACGGGCTCTCACCGGAATGGAGGCTTCTCGGCTTGGCGCCCAGATAGGCCAGGTTCACGTTGGCCTTGCGGCCGTCGATGTTGGGGTTCGGGTCTTTGCAAGCCCTCTCAGCTGCCGCCCGGTCTGC